CGAAATCAAATCAAAAACCCAACATGACTCTTAAAAGAGGAATCATGAAGAGGCAGACCAACAGAGGGCAAACAAATGATCTCATAAAGAAAAGAGGAAAGAGGGGACTGCATATGCACACAACAGGCGGTGATTGAAAAGGAGACCAGGTGAAACTAATGAGGGTGGGCGGGATACTGAGCAGGAAGTGAAGAAACCTTCAAAGTAACCAAAAAGATAAATAACCATCACAGACACCAGAGACAGGGGGACACAGAGGGGCCAACAAAACCACCAGATGCTTCTGTGGATGCTTTATCTTGTGTTGTTCCACCACTTTCCTGCATGACACACTCCTCTTCTCTTTAGTAAAAAAGTGAAGCAGTGGTTTAATAACAACTTCACTTTCATGCAGTTTGTTTCAGAGATTAAAATAATAAAATTAAAATATTATATTAAGTTTATTTAGGCACATTTAGGTCCCTTTTCACCGATTTCTGGTTGCACTAGCTTCTCTCTGTCAGCAGACTTCAGTCTATCACCCTCTGTATGTGCGAATGGGGTTAAGGTGTCACTGGAGTTGTTGACAAGTGGCAAATTAACCGTAACCAAACAAGAACAGACGCCAAATAGCCCCAAATGTATTTACTGGTCTGACAGCAGGGCCACTCCAGACAGCGTCAGAGCCGGGGTGTCAAATTCATTTTACATTGCGGGCCACATACAGCCCACTTTGATCTTAAGCAGGCCAGACCAGTTAAACTCCCCTTTCAGTCATTGTGAAGAAGTCACATATTTAACTGTGACAAAGAAAGATGAATAGCCATGAGAGAGGTTTTTATCAGCAGGAAGAGCTGGAAAAGTTATGAAAATACAGTTAAGAGTCCAAATGTAATGCTTGTTCTTGTTTGTAGTGAGCAGCAGATGAAACAAGTTAAGAATTATAAATATAAAGACCAGGAGTGTGCAACATACGGCCGGCCGTACATCACCCCTGGTGTGAATCATATTCAGCCTAACCAGCATGCATGTCTGTGCATTTTTAAATTCTTGAACTAGCAAAACATTTATCCAACTGTAGCTCTGGTGGACATGAATGAGTGAGCACTAAGTGTGTGGTTACCATATGTGAGCACATAGAGGGGCTTCCCTGCTGTGTCCAGGCTGGTGAGGCAGGGGGCTTTCGGGGAGATGGTTCCCCAGCGTTGGAGAGCCGCCTCCAGAGAAGGAGGCCAGTTAGTGACCACCCCCAGCGGCTCTCCTCGCACTGGCATCATCTCCGCCCCCTCCGGCCGAGGCTGGTTAGGGTCGGGTTGCTGGACTGTAACAGGATGAGGCCGAGAGTTTCATGAGTGCACAGATCACAAACTTTTACTGTTTATTTGATTTCAAGTGTGGCCGTGAAAAAAAAACACATAAACAACTTTTATGAACACAGATGTACTGAGGGGGACGTGAATAATCTTTTATCTCTTTTAATATTGAGTTCAGACTGCAGAGAGGCTGAGAGCGAGGCAGCAGTGGGGAGGGATTTGACTGGATTCAATCTTCAGCCAGTGCCATAAAAAATAGAATTAGAGTCAATTGGAAGTTTTAACCGCTACATCAATCCCAAGCTCAAAATTTTGTTGTATGATTATAACACACATGTTTACAACACACTGTCAAAATGACTCCAGGATATGATTTAAAAGACCACAAAACTGGACAAAAGTATGAGCTTCCCAGAGAGTCGAAGAAACGGAGAGAAAACACTCCCAGATGGAGAGAGGCGAGCAAAGAGCAGGAAATATTTCAGTACGTTTACAATTTTAACCCTTTAACAACACATCTGTGCTCTATATGAACCTTTCCCATGACTTGGAGTGTCCACATGAAGACAGTTCTTTACATGGACGTGAGTGTTGTTCTCAGCATTAATGAAGATTTTGGTCACATTGGTTACCACTGCCCAGCATCTTCCTGTATTATTTTATTCATTATTATTAACTAAAACTAAAAATCTGACTGCATTTCCCATTTTTTTTAAATTCTGAAAGTTCTTTAACTGTCATGAACTAATTCAAAGAAAGAGCTTTTTAAAGGGTAGCAGATGATTATTGATCTGCACAAAGTTTATGGTCCACTCTGTTTGGAAGCATCAAAATTCAGTCTAATGTCTGTTCACAGCTTGATGTTTCTGGAGTCAGAGTGGACCATAAAAGGCTGGAGTGCTAAGGCTAGAAAACTTGTTTACCTAGGGTCTTTATATTGTAGAGGTAAGGTAGAGACCCTAAAATAATAGAGAGAAGAGCACATCCCTGTTTGAGCATGCGCTTGGCGACACTGGGAAGGATAAACTCCCGTTTAACAGGAAGAAACCTCTGGCAGAACCAGGCTCAGGGACGGGACGCCATTTGCCGCCAACAGTTGGGGTTGATGGAATAAGATACTAAGAGAAGAACTTTGCTTACCACGTGTTATGAATTTGAGACATATTACATGTTATGTTAGTGCTATGAACCACACAGGACCAGCACAAACCTGCCTGAGGGCGCACTGTTCTGCAAAAATCAGTGTGGCCTATAATACTGCATAACTTTAAGTGCTAATAAAATTTAAAATGGTTTGTTTAAAAACATTTTCAGCCCCATGCAATTTTTATGAAGGAGAAAATTAGCTACACTGACTAATGTTGTTTCTTATTGTCAGCTGCCAACAGGTTTATTTCTGCTGTAATGTTTTTAACATGGGAGTCTATGGGAATTTACTCCCACATGGATCCTGCCTCGAGTGGTCATTGAAGGAACTGCAATTTCTGGGACTTAACCAGCTTACAAGACGTTCAGCTTTTTCCAAAATTTCTTGAGACCTGCAAAATTAACATTCACAGTTCATTTATTTGCATGCATGAATGCCACCTCAGCACTGAGCTGTGTTTCTTTGAAAAAGCTGATTTTGCACACTGACCTGTAGCAAAGCTCATTACGTGTTTATTAAAGTGATTTATTAAATGAATCACTTGGGGATAGTTTTTTAAAATGAACAGAAAGACTGTTTTTACCTTCTAAAAGCTCATCAAAGTCATCAACAAAGAACTCTCGGAGTGGAGGTCTGCGAGGCTGCTTCAGCGTGTTCACCAGCTGCTGGATCTTAGCCGACACGCGACTGCTGACCGGAACACCTGCAAAAAGGAAAGTGGTGATGTGAACAGCTTACAAGACGATCATGAAAACTATAATAAACCTCCAGTGTTACATGATGTGTTGCAAAGACTGAGACTAAAATGCTGCCTGTGATGTAAACCCTGGACAAATACTGAATGAACGATCCTGCTTTTCTTCTGACGTTCTTTCATATATGAGAGAGAAATAAAGAATTTGTCAGTCCTGTAAGCAAACAGTTCAAGCTTCAGAATGTTTTAAACCGCAGACTGTATACAAATGATGTAAAGTAAAGTAAGTAAAGTAAAATTTTATTTATATAGCACCTTTCAAGATAAAATCACAAAGTGCTTTACAAAGGCAGAAAACAGACATTAAAATCTCAAACAAAACAAAATCAACCAAAAGCGAGTTTAAACAGATGCGTTTTTAACTGCTTTTTAAAAGACATGACTGAGTCCACAGATCTCAAACTCAAAGGGAGCGAGCTCCAGAGTCTGAGAGCACTGATACAAACGCTCCGTCACCTTTTGTTTTTAACCCTGTATGCTGGACAACCAGCAACCCCTGGTCACAAGACCTCAGGGACCTGCTGGGGTGATAAGGAAGAAGAAGATCACTTATGTAAGTTGGAGCTACACCGTGCAGGGCCCTATAAGTCATGATTATGATCTTAAATTGGACCCTGAACTTGACAGGGAGCCAATGCAGTTGAATCAGCAGGGGAGTATTTGTGATGCTTTATCAGAAGCCTAGCAGCAGCATTTTGAACACCCTGCAGTCATTCAAGGGAGGCAGTACTTAAACCTTAAACAAGGAATTACAATAGTCTAAGCGAGATGAAACAAAAACATGAATAATCATTTCCAATTCAGAACGTGAGACAATAGGACTCAGCAATTTCTTAAATGGTAAAAACAAGAGCGAACCAAAGATTTAACGTGTGTGTCCAGCGTCAGAGCTGGATCAACTGTAACACCAAGGTTCCTAATGGAGGATTTAATATAAGAAGCAAGAGGGCCTCGATTTTTAACCACGAGGGGAACACATTTCTAGCCAACGTAAACCATTAACCATTCAAGGTTAGTGAAATATGGTACTTTTGGACCTGGAGGCGTCCCCCCTCTGGGTCTATTAAACAGAATGCAGGCTTGAAGCACTGCAACATTTGTACAATCTACAGTCTAAACATTGCATTTCAACAGTTTTTTAGACTCCTGGCTCTGTATGATGTCATGTGAGAATATTCCTTATAAGGTCATCTCGAGCACACGGGTCTGAGGAAAGCTGGCTTAAAGAGGGAGGAGCTAAAGCAGGTTGTTTCTGACAGAAGATGAACTTGGATGCTGCACCAAGAGCCTGGTACATGATAAATATGGATTAATTTGGACTGTAAATAATAAAATACTAATCAAGTACAAGCCAATAATAAATGTATGAAGATGGAAATTTGCAGATTGGTTTCCCTTTAAGGCACTGAATTAGAAACTCTGTATTTTTGGCACAAGGCTCTGCTAAGTGGACCACAGCCTGTGATTATTCTGAGGAGCTCTCAGCTCTCTAACTGTGACAGTGTGATTGTGAAACATGCTGAAGAAAGAACAACAAAGGTGCTCTGTCAGCTCTGCTTAGAAAAATAAATGGTAAAAAAGTCCAATCTGTCTTCCAGGGGACTGACATCAACACAAACCGTGTAATTGGCCAGTTCTCTGAGGCACTGGTCCAATTTGAGCTCACTTCCTGATTAAAGAGTTGCTATTTTTATCAGACGGTCTCCAGTATTTTTATTCAGAGGCTCCAGCTGGGAGCTGGCTAAAGGTGTGACGTTGGCGGTGACTCCTACCATCGCCTGTCTCCATGCGCTCCGCGTTGCCGTATTTCTGCGTGTTCCTGGCAATGGTTCCCATATTGGCCATGTGGTGACGCTCAGTGTGGGAGTGGGACGAGTCCGACGAGTATCCCGTCACGTCCGGCGGGGCCGAGTGGTTCTCTGTGAGGCAGATGGAGAGAGAGAGAGCTGAAACAGACAGCGGTGACTCACTGTTCACCTTTATCACTGCTCTGTTTGTCAAGTGCCGTGTGTTATAGAGTCCACGGGCAATTAGACACGTTCTGATGGTCATCTTGTTTCACTGCTGATTTGGGTCACAGCCCTGACAAACACAGGAGTCAGCAGGGTCTGGAATAGCTGCGCTTCAAAACATCACAAGTGTAAAGCTTTCAACGGAAAACTTCTTCTCCAAACATCAATAACAACAGACATTTTTGGTCATATTAAAGGTGCACTTTGTAGCTATCCTGTACAGAATTAAACTAAACCTTTTACCACCAGGGGGCAGCATTTTACCAGCACATGTGTGCAGTCTTTTTCAAGATATGCAGCTGTTTAGCTTTATATATTTCTTTTCAGCCAAACCTATTTTCTAAAGAGAAGTTGCATTGACTCACTGGTATTACACAAAATTGCAGCTAAGCATCAAGTCGACTTGAGTCAATACCTCACAGTCTTCTTCCACATTTTATGGAGTGATTTAATGCACTTTCAAAGGTTTTAAAAACGGAAATTGATAAGAAAACGATTTAATGTCCACATACTGTTTTGGGAATAGCTGACATTTCTTCTCTTAACCTGCTGAGGTCTATTCGGCCATCCGTGGTGACTCCAACTCTAAATGTAACCCTAACCTTTACTTAAACAGTTCCCCCGAGTCATTCTGTGTAATTTTAAACTGTTCACATCACACATTCACACACATTCTGCCTTTCTCCAAACTCAAGGTTGGGGTTACCACCTATCATGTCTTATCATGAATGGTGATTAAAGGCTGCATTATTTTGATTGTTTATACTCACTAAGGCATTCTGCAGGCATTCTGCATCTTCAGAGACTCTGAAAAAGGTGAAACCTACCCTCTGACTCCAGCGGCGGAGGCCACAGCATGTCGGAGCCAAACTCACAGGACCGTCGCAGAGAGCCGCCGTTCTCTGCTATACTAAGAGCTCCCTTCCTCTTCAGAGACAGGTGCCCAATACCTGAGGGAGCAATAAACAGCTGTATCACAGTCAAATACTGTGAATTACTGCAAAGACTCTTGAACTGCACTCCTATTGGGCCATAACGGTACTGCAAGACCCACGAAATTCTAGTCCTCCTTGTTACAACCTCAGTTGTGTCAGAAAATGAAAACTGACTTCTTTGATCTCTTTTACCTTGTTTTCACTCTTTGTAGACCAAATGCTTTATCAGTAATAATCATTGGGTTAAACTATAATAAAAATTATATGAATTTCCTCATTTTAGGAATCACCATTATTAAAAGACACAGGTGAAAATTCAAAATGCTGGAGCTGTAGTAGGACTGAAGTCTTACCGTGGTGCGACTGTGACAGGTGGCTCTGCTGGTGGTGCGACTGGCCCAGGTGCGCCAGGTGCGCGTGCGCCAGGTGCGAGATGTGCATGTGCGCCAGCGAGTCGGCTAGCCGTCCGGCATTACCGCTGCCTCCGCTCTGCGTGGACGAGGACGAGGAGGAGGTGGAGCCTAGGTGGGCGGGGCCTAGCTGGGAAGGGCGGCTCATCCAGTGCTCCATGCCCGACATGTCGTCACCTGGCCCCGCCTCCTCCTCTGAGCCCGACGAGGAGTCTGAGCACAGGGGGGACAGACCTAGTGAGGGTCAGTAGCCGCCATTATATGTTAATAACAGAACTTTCACAGCATAAAACTAACAATAATAAATAAGCAGGAACTGAAATGAGTGCTAACACAATATAAGACCTTTAAACAATATTAGTAAACAATTCAGCAGTTTGGGAGACTAGCTTCTTCCAACTAAATTAAATGATAAACACTGCTACCACGCCAGAGCCATTTGTTTGCTAGGTTAGCTCGGCATCCAATTTAGCTCAAGAGAAAAGTTTGTGTTAATGTCCCAGCTCTAATCCTTTTTGGTTCTTTGTTTTTCTAGAGAAATAATCAGATAAAACATCTTATTTAGTGAATTAGAGGCTCACTTTCTTATTGTTACGCTAAGCTAACCGTGCCCTAACTAAGTGCTTGAATGAGAATGGTATTACAATTCTTCTTAGCAAGAAACTGGTTAAGTCATTTGTTTATGGGATTTGAAATAGCTCTGACCAAAGTGGACAGGTTGTGTTGCATCAGGTTTGTGCTGCTAAATGTAAAGAAATAACGCGATAAAGTTGTTTTTGCTCAATGTGTTTTATGCAAGGGTGAAATTGCTAACTTTTTAGTTTTGCATGTCTGTTTGTGGTTTTTCTTGATATTACGTTCTTCATGACACTAGCTGATGACACTACGAGATGTGTGAGTTACGGAGAAGTTAGCAGGGCTTCAGAACGAAGAGGGGGAAATACAAACTGTAGGTCCCAGCGATAATCATGGAGAATGTATTTGGACAACGATGAGCTCAGAGCTAATCGAGACCCAGAGGGAACACAGTGAGCGCGGGATGTTAACCTAAGTACAGCAATTGCACTGTTTTTGTTATTCGAAGTGATGTAATCGTGGACGTTTTCCTGTGAAGTCATGTTTTTCTGGCCTGATTATTGAACTGCAGCTGTGGAATGTGTCTATATTACTCGCCAAGGGAATTGTTTTTTTCATCATTCAGTTTGAATTCAGCTAACACAGAGATAATCCACATAACTGTGCTTGTGAAGAAAGACTATGGTTAATAAATGGATACCCCAAACCACCTCATACAACATTTACTGAACCAGTAGGCACTTTGTCTTCTTCCTGTATTTATATTTAGGTCTTGATACAATGAGCCCTGCACTTTTTTCCATTTCACAAAGCTCCTTTTTGGGTCACATTAAGGTCATTTTGAGCTGGGTTGTTTTTCATGCTTTGGCTGTTTTTACATAATAATTTTCCGACTTTTTGGATAAATAGAATATATCTATATATATCTATTTATGCAAAAGAAAAACTAGAAGCATACAAATCTCTTGATGCATATTATTTTTCACCTAACCCGCGTGGCTGCACATGCGCCTGAAAATCGTGTTTTACACCAATTTTCTACGCTGGATTTATTTCTGATCAAACATTCTGATTTCCTGTGGGCTTGCTCGCCTCCCTTGTTTGAGGTCCCACTCCTGTGCCACCCCACATCCCTTCATTTATACCCAGCGTGGCATTTAATCCACGACTACTGATCCACATCTGAGCCTGGTAATAAGAAACAGATCAGAATTGAGTGTTTTTAAGACAATTGTCTCCAGTCAGTATTACAATGGTTCAGAAAAAGCCTGGAGACCATGATTAATTCTGTTCACCACTGAAGTTTGATGAGCTTTGGGTGACACAGCAGGCTCTAGAGCTGAAAATGTCAATAATTAGTCAGCTAAGGTAGTAACAACCACGAGAACCAATTTAGGTAAAACTGGCTTTGGGCTGCACTTTAGGAAAAAGGCTGAATTTACTTCTTTAAACGAGTTCATTGTGTGAACACGGAGGAGCAGTAAACATAACATGGGGATTCAGTTTCCGCTCTGACTTTCCTATAACAGGAAGCAAGTAAGTGTCCCGTGTCGACCACTGAGGCTCATGAGTAAGACGAGCCTTTGGGGTGATGTCGGGATCGCTTAAGAATTTTCTCAAAGGTTAAAAAGCAAATTGGCAGTGAACAAAGTTATTACATTTTCTCCATTAAAATCCAATCAGCAGCAAAATTATACCGTCAACTCCAATTATGTTCAATCTAATGAGCTCATATTTGAGGTAAAGGTCAGCTCCGACTTTCCCCTTTCGTCCATGTTTTTTGCAGTTGCAAATACGCAGAATAGTCAGCTACTAATCGGTGTTTTTCCTTTTTCTGATGGCAGATCGCATTTACAGTAGCTGACTGCGTGCAACGTTACATCTGTCTGTGGTTTGTTTTCACTGTAAAACCATCAGCGCCTCAGGAAATGTGCATGTTTGCAGTTTTTTGGAGAGATGAGTGTGTTTCTGTCAGAATGGAAAACGTCTGAGAAAGCAGAGACACGGCATTACAACATAATCCCGTCTGGGCTCGGGCCTGCCTCTCCGGGGTCAAATTTTCGGCTTAGTGCAACCCATTTCAGCGGAGATAACCACAGCATGTGTGTGTATGAGTGTGTGTATGAGTGTGTGCACCTTCTGGGTACTTTTTTCTTTAAACTAAACACTATTTTAAAGACATGAAAAAACAATCCAACGCTTAGCTGCTTCTAATCTCCTGCTCAAAAGTGCACATCAGAAGATCACATGACCTGTTAAACTGAACCACTGAGCTATTCTTAGTTCAATATTGTTAAGTCGCAGCCACTTTCACACATTCTGTTTATAAGTTAAATCACTGAGCTCCCTTATTATATTTTACTTTGGGGTTTGTTCTAGTTTGTCATATTTTATCTCTACTTTATTGACGTATTTTGTTATAGCTTGCAGTTTTAATGTTTTAATCCACCGTCACAAGTATATGTTGTCTCATTTTTTCACATCTCAATCAGAAAAATACATGGAGCACAAATACAGGTGTGTGTCTCAGTCTGTGTGTCGTCACCTGGAGGCGTGTATGCATCCATGGAGGTCTGCACCACCAGCGAGCGTCTCTTGGAGGGCATGGGCACCGCCACCTTCCTCTCAACGTGTCGCGCCAACACAGCCTGCACCGCCTCAGTGTGGACGTCTGAGTGAGAGAGAGAGAGACAGGTAAACAGGCTCATTCATGCAAAGGAGGAGGGAGAAAGTTCTCCTAAAAAATGAAAGTGGAAAAAGTGCACCGTCCCCTCCATCTATGTCTTTTCCAACAAACAAACCCGCTGAAGTCTCATCCATTTTGATTACACTGCAAGTCCCTGTAATGTATTAACTGAAAATTACAGTTTACACATGAATAAAGCCAGACTGTAATCATCCTTCAATTCACAGTAAAGAGCAGCAAGTTCATTTTAACTACCACAGTGCCAGCAGTGCGATCTGATATACTTCTGTTTTTCTAATCATAAGTACTGAATGCCAAGTGTGTGCAGTAACATGGTTACACTGCTTTATGAATTCATTTTTTCTTAATGCATTTAAAGTGGAACGTATTCTGTTCATTACCAGCTCTGTATTTTTATTCTTGGCCTCTGCTATAGTAGCTTTGCATACTACACAATCCTTCTTCATCTTATACTAATACTGAACTAGGCTCACAGGGATTACTTGTACATACGCTGATTTCATTATATCTGAAGCTTTCACCTTGTTTAATACGAGTATCCACTGCTGGAAGAGGAAATATGAGAGAAAATGAAGAGGAGGTGAATATGGACACTATATAAGAAGTCTCAGTGATCCGATGGTGGTGTTTATGCAGCTGTAGTTTCCGTACCTGATCTGTAGCGCTCGTCTCTGGTGCCGGAGGTTCTCCGTCGGTGGAAACGGGCCGCAGAGGGAGGGCCGAGGGGGGCCCGGTGAGACATTGGCCCCTCCATACCTACAGAGGCAAGCAGACAAGCAGCGACAGATGCATACATATATAGAGAGACACAGACATACACACACGTGCACAAATACGTTTGACAAAAGCAAAAGATAGGAGGGCCAACAAAGAAAAATAAACATGGAGATGATCTGACTCAGCAGAAAAATTAGATTTTTCTGGCATCTTAAAATGAAAGAATTGATAAAGAAAAAGAAGGTAAAAATAATAATAATTCGAAAAATGTGGCAGTTGCTTCTCTGCTCTCTGATAGAACATCCCTCAGTATCCAGTGAGCCGTTATTGCTAAATCATCCGATATACGATAAGGATAAACCAGATTGGGTGACACATGTGTGTGTGTGTTTTAGCTGCAGGAGAGCCTGTAGGGCGTGTGTGTGTTTGAAGACAGCAACTACAGCACGTTCAGATAAAGAGGAGCAGGCCCAAGCTGAGCTCTAGGGAGTCCTAACCTACATTCACTAATGGCGGCGGCTGAAGACTGAATCGATAGAGTCGAGTACAGTATCATTGCCACTGTATTTGTCATGATACCAGATCGATTCTCTACTAGCGGTATGGGAATATTTTCGCGGCGTGGGGAGTGTGTGGGGGAGTCAGAGGTTGCTAAATTACCTCCAGCATGTGGAACATATGCCCTGACCAGCTTGGACCTCTTCTTCTCATAACCCTTCTGAGTGATGTCCCCTGCGAACAGATAGAGATAGATAAAGAATGAGAGAGCCAGCGGAGGGTGCGTGGGTGTTTCCCTTCATCTTTTTTTCCCCCAGAAATTGTGTCCATCAAACACGTTTTGGTTGCTTATACGGTTTTTGTTTTCCTTTAAAGAGGACCTATTATGCTGATTTCCCACTCTTTGTTTTAAACCCTGATTCACAGTACTGGGCCTTATTGCAGCTGTCAGTGTATGAAATAAGCTGTTCCCCTCCTGTTGATACAGTTTTCTTCTCATTGGCTGCCCCTCGTAAAGAGACATTTTCAAAAGCAGGTGGGTGGGGCTTCTGTACTCGAGCTGTGTGCCTAACATGACCATATAAGGAAATCTGCTTTTGCTGACATCATAATGGTGGTAACACTTTATTGTAACAGTTGTGAATAACTAGAAATTTGATAGTTTATTAATCCTCACATGGACTTTCCATTATTGTAAAGTTGTATCTGATATTTTCACTGCTTTATATTGATGTATGCTAGCTGTCAGGCTGTTAGACAACACTGTGGATTGGATGTTATGACAGTAAAGAGCAATATGTGTGTCGTTACACATGCGTTGCAGTGTGTCTGCTTTGATCTGAGCTGTTCATGTTGGGCTTGGAGCGTATAAATAAACATTGGCATTGTGGCCATGCTGGATACAATTACAAGCTATTACAGTCTGTTTCACAAAGAGAACACACTGGGCGTGGCTGCATGAGAGTTGATCACATCCTCTCAAGGCAAGGAGAGGATCCCAGAAATGGCTCTCTGTTCAAACGGCATCAGGTCTGTTTTTCACAGGAGTGGGCAGGAAGTCGGACACAGGTGGAATCTGAAGCTGTGAGAGGGATGATCTGTCTCACTGTTGTGGCCACATGAGCAAAGGGGCCAACATTTACACAAACCTTGTCCTTGTGTCTGAGGTGCCAGCAACTTTTTATGACACAATAATAACACCAGTTATTATAAAATAATAGGAATTACAGGATAATCTAATTGTTTGTTAACACCCCAATAGCTATATACTAAATTTCACATAGCTATTTAACAATTTACTGTTTATTAATGATCGTTATGATAAAGTGTTACCAAACCTCCTGAGATGGTGCTTTATTGGGATTACCTGTGCATGCACTGACATCAGTATTTAGCAGGCAGTAGTATTTCAGCCATGTTAAAAACATACCTACAGCACAGAGAGTAAGGAAAAGCATAACAGGTCCACTTTAAATAAGCTGGTGCAGCCTCATTGGTCTCATGTCACCCAGCCTCCTCTGTCTCTCACAGCCTTTTAATGCTTCTGTCCGACTGTTAATTAAGAACATAAACATAAATAAAACAACATGAAATGAATAATGAATAATGGAGATGATGAATATGAGAACGGGAATAATGTTATGCACTGCACAGACTCTGCAGTTCAACAGTCAAATGCTACATGATGTTTTTTCCCCAATGCATACAGAAGCTTTCAAGGTCGTATGATAATCTGATCATCATTATAATGTTATTCTTTGTTTTGTTCTGCAGCACACCAAGGTCTTGTTCGCTTTCTGACATCAGAACATCAATGCTTGACATTCATGTCGGGTTTAAGCACCACAGCAGGAGGAGCCTCTGTCTTGGGTGTCACGTTTATATTTCTGGAGATAAAGGGTCCCAAATGAAAACCTGAAAGACCAGAAACAAAGCTGGAGAGACCCGTGATGGATGACTGGGGAAGGAAATTTCATCTTGGCTTTTGGACTCCTGTCCAGCAGGGAACACGAGTAAATACACTTAGTGCTATCATTTGTACACTACATGTCCAAAACATCACCCAAGGCCATAGAAAGCAACTAGAAGAAGCTGCTCATTGAATCACATCTGATTCAGGAAGCACCTCACCCAGCAGTCTTTGTATATACTGTGACCGTCAACAGGCAGGGTTTGATCTTTTCCTTCCTGCACTCCCACCATGAGAGTCATCTGAGGTATTAGTAATTCAGTTCGAATAAAAGTAGCTTTTTCTTTATAAAAGACTCAGAAATAGTAGAAAATTAATTGATTTCTGTCAAAAATTTGACTGTACACAGATCAGTCACGCGTACATGAATAGCTGACCACCGAGGAAAAACATATAGTATAGCTGTAGGTAACATATCTCTTCATATAAACTACATGACAAGTGAAATGACACCATCAGTACTCCTGTTATGTGACTACATGATGATTTTAAGACCGAGTATGAGTATTAGTGTGGATTAGTGACAGCAGCAGAGACTAATGGACGGACAGGCAGAGGTCAGCATGGAGAGGCAGCGATGCAGAAATTCATTACAGTCCCTAAGGGAGGTCGTGGCTGCCTAGGCGACCCCCCACCCCCAGCAAAACCAACACGACCGCTGATCAATCACAGCACCCCACGGTCCTCGCTGCAGGGATAATATGTGCTAATACTTCCTTGTTTGTCCCAATTAAATGCTGTTAAACTGGCTCACACCAGTTCGCTAATTATTGATTGTTGTTTGATTTGCCACGGAGACGGGAGACAAATCAAATCCAAAGACAAAAGGACGCCGGGAGGCTACAATATCAGTCGCTCTGAGACAAGTGAAAGTATTACACCGCAGCAGATGCCTTTAAAGTCATCAAATGTCATGAAAAACATCAAAATCAACCAATGATGCAGCTTTTCTGTCTCTATATAAAAGATTTTTATACAACATTCAGCTTATTTTTTGTTTAGTTTCATTTTTTAAGCATCAATTCTGCTCATCTCCATCTCCCCTCTCTATGACATCAAGAGAGCCAAGAGAATAAAAAAATGAGTGACTGAGAATAGAAAAGAGACGAACTCAGCTAAGAGTAAAGTTAAATCAAATATTTAAAAGATTGGCAAATAATGATTACTTTAATAAGTTTATTTTGCTATCAAGTTCACATCAAACATACTTGTCTTTGGAGCCATGGCTCTTAGCTTTTCCTAGAAGTTCAAACTCACTTAAACTTCCGTTTAGCTCAAGAGACGATGACTAAGCGAGAGCCTAAATTCAACATTTCAACCACTTTTTAGTCCACGGGCAACTCTTAGTCCAATCTGATCAGCAGAGGGCCGGCGCAGGAAAATCAATCAAAAATTCCTTTCTTAAAGTTTATAGAAGTAAAAGCTATTTGTGAAAACATTCCAACAATGTGTCTCATGTTGTTCCACTTTCTATTGAACAACTGTCGTTACCAAGTCGTAACTCAAAAACGTCCTTTTTGGCTCTTTATCTTAAACGTCTTGATTTCTTCTTAGTAGAAATATAGAGAAGTAGCATTAATAGTAGTAAAGTGTCATCCTCTGAAATGTTCACACTTTGCAAGCAGTCCAGTGGCTCTACTCTCAGACTTCCCTCAGTGGAAGCAGCACAGCAGGAAGTCCAAACTGGGAATGAAAATATCCAAATGAAAAAGACTCCAGAGCTTGAAGTGCATGAAGAACAAACAGAACCAGAGCAAGCACAAAACACCAGTCAGCATGGACAAAAGGGGACACGAAGACAAAAACATTGAAACAAGAAGACTTCATAATAACATGAAGGGATCAAGCAGACGCACCACCAGAGAGAGAGGACAGAGGGAGGAACCCAAAGGAAAATACTGAGGCAAATAAAAGCAGCCTGACAAATACAAAACTACCGAAACCCAGTAAACACAGCAACACCAGAAGAATAAAGCCATTAATAAAAGGACCAGAAATACAATAATACAATAACATTTAGAGCTCAAACACACCAAGACATCCATAAAACATCCCGGCTTTGTTTTTTAAGCAAAGCTTTCATAAACATTTCGAGGACAGAGTGCATGTGGAGCACCAGGATGGTCCAAACAGTGAAAGTGAACTACACTGTGTTTATGGGAGTGAAAGGAAATGTCCCCCTGCGCACTGCTGTGGCTCGCTGATGTGTTTTCAGACCAACAATGGAGCGCTCGGGTTTTGGATACACAGACGATAAATCACTGCTGATTTCTGGTCTTTTTGTTGGGCTTTCTGACAGCTAGAAAAATGTAGTATATCACCAGGCTTCCTGTTTATCTGAGCACAAACACATCTACACTGTCAGATCTATGTGATACCAAAGAGTCCAACATATTTCTGTTGTAAAAAGTGAGAATCGTAGACCTGCCAGGAGAGAAGACGCTCGGCTCTTTCAGAAATCTTGCTTCACTAGTTTTATCTGCAGTCTTCTGCTTTATTTCAAGCTGCTGTTTCTGTAAAAAGTGAATTTATCACACCTGAGTGGAGACTGCTACTCAATTTACCAAAAGATGAGCTCAGCTGTTTGCACACAGATTTTTTTTTTTCCAGTGCGTGACTTCAGGGCACAGATGTGATTGTGCGTCTATGAATACAAACAACTTATGGCTACAAACAAACAGTGGAAGTGTAGTGAATCCAGTTTCCATAAAAATCACTTCCTAGAGAGAGAACCTTATTATGATGTAAACAATATATTTCCAAGAAAGTCTCTGAAGGACCACAAATCAGGTCCAGTGAGCTCACACTGGCTGCTAATCCATTCCCAACAGCTTTATCCATTTCTTACAAAACAACCCTGCAAACATCATGACAGCAGCCAAGATGGTTTTAAGGCAGGCTGCCAAACGGGACGCTGTTTCCATGTCCAGTGTTGGTGCAGTCAGACCCTCTCATACAAGCCAGGAAATATTGTTATATGCTAGGGCTGTGCGATATGACCAAAATCTCATATCCCGATATAAGACATCTATCGCCCGATAACGATATAAATCACAAAAATTTAACATTTTCTGTAAATTCTATGAATCTCGGGCAGCTCGTCTTGCGTGAAGTGTTTCCAGCTGCGCGTCATGTAGCTGGAGTCGAGTGTTTTAACCGATGCATGAAACGATACATTTTTAGACATAAGTTGTAACGGCCGCCGTTTTCTTTGTGAGTATTTATTACACGGCGTGCTGCGGGGAAAAGCCTGTTCTAACGTTTG